GGAGAAAACTTGCTATAGTTTGAACTTAAAATGTTCACCCGAGGCCCAGGCTTACCCCAAACTGCGGTGCTATTAGAACATTTTGGGACTTTTCAAAGGCGGGAACTATTGGAGGAAGTTGGATCCCTGCAGGCTTGTCGTTGAAGAGGATTGTAGAATCCCACCCTTCTTTCTCTTTCTGTTTCCCTGCCACCATGAGGTAAACAGTTTCTTCTCCCGTGCACCGCTACCATGATGTGCCCCGCTACAGACCCAAACAGGGTCAATCAAGCAAGGGCTAACGCCTGCAAAACTGCGACCCTAAACAAACACTTCAGTTGTAAAGTTAGTTACCTCGGTATTTGTTACAGTAACAACAGAAAAACCAACCTCAAGTCTTTAGGTTCGTCCTCAATACAATCGCTCCTCTTGATAAGGCAGGCCTGTGACCCAGGTACCAGAAGCCTGAGACAGAAAGATGGCGATTTCAAGACCTGTCTGAACTACACAGTGAGTTCAAAGGTAGCCTGGGCAATTTAGTGTGACCATTGTCTTAAGAAATTAAAATAAGAAATAATAATCTCTTTATGATTTTATAAGAAATTTTTACAAAATTTTATAAAACAACTTATAAGACACTCATAAAATAAGAAATTAAAAAGAGCCGGGCGGTGGTGGCGCACGCCTTTAATCCCAGCACTCGGGAGGCCTCTGCAGGCGGATCTCTGAGTTCAAGGCCAGCCTGGTCTACAAGAGCTAGTGCCAGGACAGGCTCCAAAGCTACAGAGAAACCCTGTCTCGAAAAACTAAAAAAAATAAAGAAAGAAAGAAATTAAAAAGAGAGCTGGGAATATAGCTCAGTGATTGAAAGTGTCTGAGGTGTGCAAGGAAAAGCAAGCAAATACAGTTAATAGCACACCAGAATATTCTCTCTCTCTCTCTCTCTCTCTCTCTCTCTCTCTCTCTCACACACACACACACACACACACACACACACACACCTGGAGAGGTCCTGAATATCAACTAGAGGACATGTGGCATATTATATAAACAAAGCAACAACCACACTTGCTACTCACGACCAGGAAGCATTGCTTTAAGCATTACCTCTTTAATGGGGCATGGTGGTTCATGCTTTTAATTCCAACAACTTGGCAGTCCAAGGCAGGAGAATCAGGAGTTTGAGACCAAGTCCAAAAAGTACCCTGGACCCTGCATACTAAAGTCCCACTGATGCAAGAGTAGCATGACTTTTTTGGAGGGGTGGTAACCAACCGTGGTTTCTGATCATATTTAAGGCATGCTCTACAGGGGAGAATGCATTGTTTGGCACTGTAAATCTAGTCAGAAGCCCATGGACCCCAGAAGTCATAGAACCTTCTGTTGTTTTACTAAATGGTCACGTTGTCAAACTGCCTTCTATGCTTGTATGTATGTTTCTACCATACAGTAGTGTTGTTTTTATCTGTCATCGGAGAAGCTCTTTTCTTGTAGTAATGCAGAGAGTCCTAACTGCTCAATGTGCTGAGAATAAGTGGCTGTGTGTGTTCATCCCTGAATGAGACACCTGTAACACACACACACACGCACACATACACACACAACACACACACACACACGCACACACACATCAAAGCTTAAGGAACAAGATGAAGGTGTGTTCATCTCTAACGAGACACCTGTAACACACACACACACATGCACACACATCAAAGCTTAAGGAACAAGGTGAAGGTGTGTTCATCCCTAACAAGACACCTGTAACACACACACGTGCACACACACACACACACACACAAAGCTTAAGGAACAAGATGAAGGTGTGTTCATCCCTAACGAGACACCTGTAACACACACACACACACATGCACACACATCAAAGCTTAAGGAACAAGGTGAAGGTGTGTTCATCCCTAACAAGACACCTGTAGCACACACACATGCACACACACACGCAACACACGCACACACACACAAAGCTTAAGGAACAAGATGAAGGTGTGTTCATCCCTAACGAGACACCTGTAACACACACACACACACACACACACACGCACGCACGCACGCACACAAAGTTTAAGGAACAAGATGAAAGAGGGGGAGGCAAGAATGTGAGCGCCGGAGACTGTGGAGGAGTACAGGGAAATACTCTCTTCTGGATATGACACTGCCAGCGTCCTTGACCTCACAGCGGGAGTGGGTTATCTGCACACCGTCAAGCCAATCAGAGTTTCAGCATGAGTGAGGAGGGAAACTCGCAAGGCTCCTCTCCTAGCCAAGGGTCTGTTGGCGGCTGCTGGGGGAGGGAGAACAAGTTTTCTTTGGAGATGTGGCCACGGGTAGGTGGCCCATACCTATGAGCACTGGGGCAGCTCTAACTGGACTCAGCGAGATAAAAAAGAAGAGGGGGGCCGGGCGGTGGTGGCGCACGCCTTTAATCCCAGCACTCAGGAGGCAGAGGCAGGCGGATCTCTGTGAGTTCGAGACCAGCCTGGTCTACAAGAGCTAGTGCCAGGACAGGCTCCAAAGCTACAGAGAAACCCTGTCTCAAAAAAAAAAAAAAAAAGAAGAAGAGGGAGGACATGCCGGGGGAGCTCAGCAGGAGTCTGAGCGGGAGTAGGTATGACCAAAATATATTGCACAGAGGTATGAAATTCTCAAGGAAAAATATTATATTGAAAAATAAAATTGAACATGTAAGTGAGCATATAAATAAACATACCTTTATTTTCTCACAATTTAAAAAGCCAAGTACATGCTTGAAAAAAAAATACTAAGGAGCTGGGAGTTACTTTCGTGGGTAAGGGTGCTTGCCGGGTAACCCTGAGGATCAGAGTTTGAGTCTCTAGCAACCGCATAAAGAGCCAGACATGGCCATGCCTGCCTGTAACAACAAAGGGGCTAACTGAGCAGAGACAGAGGGTTCACTGGGGCTTGCTGGCTGCCAGTCTAGCCAAAAATGGGAAACTCTATGCTCAGCAAGAGACTCTGTCTCAAAGGAAGGAGGTGGAGTGATGGAGAACAACACCCAGCATCTTCCTCCGGCCCCCACAGGCCCATGTACATACGACACACATGCTCAGACATTTCGTGCTGTAAGAAATGGGATGAAGAGCTGGAGCTGAGATATAATACAAAAATGTTCCTATTTGAAAGAAAAGGAACAAGGTTCCTGGGCAGAGTTCACCATCATATGACCTGGGAAGGAGCTTGAACAGTATTAGGCCACAGAGGTTTTTATGCCCAGCAGTGACATGGGGACTCAGTGACTCAGTAGCTGGAATTGGGGAGACACAACACTCAGCTTTGCGGGGAGGGAGAACTTCCCCCCGGGCACAAAGCCATCAACAAAAACATTTCTAGTTTCCTTCGAGAACTGGGCTTGAAACTGATTAGCCAAATTCTCAGTAGTTGGAAGAAATTAAACTATGGGTTCCCAAACCTGCCCCATCTCAGGGTAAGCTTTAACACACATTTTAATTCTAGATCCAGTCCTGGGGGAAGGACCAATATATATATATATATATTCTCATTCTCTCTCTCTCTCTCTCTCTCTCTCTCTCTCTCTCTCTCTCTGAAAGTGGAAGCCAGACGTCAGGTGTCCTTCCTCAGGATACCATCCACCTTGCTTTTTGAGACAGGATCTCTCATTGATCCAGAACTCACCAATTCATCTAGGTTGGAAGACTAGAGAGCCCCAGGGATGCGCCCATCTCCGCCTCCCAGAGCTGGGATTACACGCGTGCCCCCACCATACCCTCCTTTCTGCAGTGCGAGCATAGCGAGTACTTCACCGGCAGCGCCGTTTCCCCATTCGTTCATCCTCTCATTCATTCCTTTGCTCTTAAACTCACTCATCCAGTCATACAGTTTGCACAGGGAGATCCAAGCTCAGTCCCAGCCCCTGTCCCAGCTCCTAATATCTCTACCAAGTCCTGCTGGGTCACTTCCACCTTTGGAACTCCCAGAAACTCTAAGGAGCTCGGGTGCTCAGCCACATGTCCTCAGACCCTCCTCTGAACACCACGCAGGGACACTGTACGCCTCCAGCATTAGAAAAGACAAGTAGCAAACTGATTGAGAGTTGCACCTTTCGCTTTATTAGAATATCGCATCAATTGCAATAAATATTAACTTATTGAATCCTTAAACACATCATAAATAATATGGACATCTTACAGAATTAAATAAAAGCAAACATCTATTTTTCCTGGAGTAAACTAGAAGGAGACTTCTTCAGTGACCCAGAAGCCTGAATCACAACGCAAGCATTTGGTGCTTTCTGCTTGTGTGGGCTCCTAAAGTTGCAGTATACACAAAGCGTTTACTTTGCTTCTAAAGTTCAGTTACACCGAAAAGCAAGGTCCAACATGTGGTTGGCTCTCATTCTCACTGCACTGAGATGGCCTTTTCTTTCTCCAGTATCTGGCTACCCCAGGCACAGAAGGACTATCCTGACACAATCGAGTTCATACATAAGAACATAAGAAAAGTTAACCTCATAAAAATTGGGAGTAGAAGTGGGGTTTCTGGAGACTGGAGAGAACAGCAGGGAGTTGAGGAGAGGCTGGTAATGGGCACTACCCTGAAGTTAGACAGGAGCAGGAAGCCCTGGTGTGGTAGTCCCCACCAAGAGAGCTACCGTCTATCTCAGACGGCCAGGAGAAAGGATGTTGGAGTGTGGAGGGGTGTGATCCTCCTGCTTCTGAATGGATCAGAGTCACCCTTGACTATACACTGAGTCTCCAGAAAGGAGGCGAGGGCTAGGGAATGTAGCTCAGTTGAGCCCAGCCTGAACTACACCAGTTTCTGTTACACATATACGAGAAGAATGTTAAATATTTGGTTAAATGCAAATGATCAGTATTTGAGAACATAGATAGGTTTAACTTGACTGCATGATGTAATTATGAGTGGAAACAGTGTGTGGTAACCCTTCATTTTTCAATCTTGTGGCTTTTATGCATCAGTTTTAAAAAACTAACTGCAAATCAAATCTGAAGTCCCGTCTTCACGGAGTCTCAGTCTTCCATTGTCCACTCCGTGCTCAGCACACCAAGAAACTCCTGCAGGTAATCCAGGAACTGCCGTGTTCTCCGCCTCTCCTCGCTACACTGCTCCTGTGAAAAGAACAGACTGTCGTCAGCTCCTGGGGAAGCAGGTGCCGCCAGCCCGCAGGGATGCCCGGGAAACTTACTTTCTGGCGGTCAATGTATTTCTTTATTAACGACAAGTTTTGGAATAGCGTTTCCACGGTACCGCCACGGACAGTCTGATTCTTCAGCATGTCTAGCCCCTGGAAGATTTCTCCAATGCACAGCTGGTGCTGAAAGAGGAAGGTTATCAAAAGCCAATGGAACAAGGTGAAGCACCAACTGTATCAGCCAGCCCACAAAGTACACATAGTTCAAAATATCATGCTATATGCAAGGAATGCGTGCAACTAAAATGCATCAGTTTTTTTTTTTTAAAAAGCAGATCATTGGAGACTTAGTGGGGTTTATCTGAGTCTGTAATCCCAGCATTCAGGAGGTGGAGGTAAGAGGATCAAGACCAAGACTAGCCCCTGATACGCATTTTGAGGATAGCCAGTGCTGTTGGGTCTGTTTCAAAAAGAAAAATCAAAACCAAAGTTAGGCTTTGATCTGGAGAGATGGCTCAGTGGTTACGGTCATTGACTGCTCTTGCAGACGACCTGGGTTCAGTTCCTAGCACCCTTGTGGTGGCTCATAACCATCTGAGTCCTGGGACTAAAGGTGAGTGGCCCCATACCCAGCCCAATATTTCTTTTGAATTCCTAGAAAGGCTGGTGATTCCTTTCTATTTAGAATAATGAAATAATGTATTTTACACTAGAATAATATATATATATACACAAATGTATACAATATCATTACATAGTCATATTCATTTAACCATGTAGAAGTTACTAATAGAGGGATTCATTATATTTTTTATGTCTACCAATCTTGCCTAAGAATATAGCCCTCTGAGCTGGCTAGGTGGCTCAATGGTTAAGAGCACTTGATGCTCTTGCTGAGGACGCAGGTTCAGTTCCCAGCACCCACGTGGTGACTCACAACCATCTGTAGTTCCAGTCCCAGGCCATCCGATGCCCAATTAGCTTTCGGGGGCACCAGACACATGTGTGGAACACATACATATATGCAGGCAAAATATTCATACACGTAAAATAAAAATAAATAAAAGGAATATAATCCTGCACACAGGCCCTGGGCTGATCCTCAGTTATATGAATCAAGAAAAAGAAAATAAAGAAAGGCACTGGGGTGAAGAAAATAATAGGCAGAACCAAACAGAGCCTAGCAGGACCTCTTGCCAAGTGTGGAATCGGGTAGAGAATCTTTGATGTGAGGCTTAGTTAGCTGGAGGGCTGGCAGCTTCACTTGACCACATACATAACAGATTCTGCTAGCTCAAAGTCATTCCTGATATTGATTGGTTAATGGCTTTTGGGTGTCTCAGAGCCCAGGCTGGCCTCTGGCTTAACATCTGGCAGTGAATGACCTTGAACCTCTGGTCCTCCTGCTCCCATTTTCCAATTGCTGATATTACAGACATGCACTACCATGCCTAGTTTATGGGGTGCTGAAGAATGAACCCAAAACTTTGTGTATATTAGACACTCTATTAATGGAGCTATATCTCCAACCCTCTCGTGTTTGTTTGTTTGTTTTTGGTACAGGTTCTGGTTGTGTAATCCAGGTAGGTTTTGAATTTATATTGCCGAAGATGGCCTCAGTCCCGTGTTGCCCTTGCCTCGGCTCTCAAGTAAGTGCTGAGATTCTGTCCCCTTAACCTTCATATTTATAAGCACATGCCTCCACATTCACCCACATAACAAATGTCAAAGGAAATCAAACAGTTTTAACTGAAAACAAACGATTAGCTAAATGTGGTGGCCCAAGCCTGTGGCCCAGCTACTTGTGCTGGGGCAAGAGGATCACTAGAAACCCCGGAGCTTGGAAGCTGGTGAGATGCCCACCCAGACACAACACCACAAAGCAAGAAGCAAATGACTTGTAGATTAGTGTGTGGAGTAGACTTATTCACGCAATCATGGCGCTGAAACATAACTTACATTTTTATGAGTAGGAACAGGAAGCCTCACCGTCTGCAATAAAGAGAGTATAAGGTCATTTCTAAAGCATTTGAGGCTGTTTTAATACCGCGCTTGCTCTGACACTCTAATCCCTTGTGCACTAACACATTCATAATTGCATTATGTATAGCAGATCTTTATGTGTGGGAATGAACTGCCATAAATTATTAATGCTTTTTTTTTTAAAAAAAAGAAATTTTTTGAATTACGGTCTCACTGTGTAGCTCTGGCTGGCCTGGAACTTGCTGTGTAGACCAAGCTAGCCTTGAAATCACAAAGATCCACCTGCCTCTGCCTCTGAGTGCTGGCATTAAAGGCGGCAACCACCACACCCAGCTATTAAGCGTTTTTAAGACCCCATAGAGGTGGGAGACAGAGGCAAGAGGATCTCCTAGGAACTGGGACAGCTTGGTCTACACAGAAAATTTGAGGTCAGTCAGGGCTGCATAGCAAGACCCTATCTTGAAAACCAAACCAAACCGCAGAAATAAAAGTCGTCCTTTACCTCATTGCTTGTTAGGAGAGCTCGGTGCATGGACAGTTGTATCAAGGTCTCTTTCACCACCGTGCTCATAGGAATCTCCATAGCGGTGGTCCAGACACAGGCGAGAGTTAGAACACTCCAGTGCAGAAGCACCCTCATGATTCTGAAGCCTTCAGCGTTGGCCTTTAGCAAAGGAAGAGTGCAGAGCAGGGCTGCATCCCCAAGCAATTTATTCTCTCTTTGAGGAAATGAATAATTTCTAACAATCAGATAGACGATGCCTAATAAAGGCAAGTAGCGAAACTCATTGTTTCCAATCCCTTCCTTGGGTCTTCAGAGAAAAATGCATTTTTTTCTCATACTAGTCAACATCTCTACCCCTACCCCTGTTTAAAAAGCATTTTTTATGTCAAAAGAAAATTAGTTTCTATGACCTTGATCCACACTGATAGGAATATTGGGAATGTCTCCCTGGGTGTGACGATGCACACCAGTGGGTGTGGAAGGTACAATCAGGAGGATCAGGAGGTGAGGGGCATCCTTGGCTGCCCAGCAAATGTGAGGTCAGCCTGGAACACATGAAACCCTGTTTCAAGCCACCGAAGAGCAAAGGGACAGGAGGGGATCTTCTCAGTTGAACTAAACTCCACTGGCTGAAGCTGGAATTATCCGTGCTTCAGAACTGGAAATACTCTGGGGAAGACACTGATTAGAGAGTCCGGCGGAGTGAAGTTACACAGTGTAGGTTTTTGATCAACATTCTGTGTGTTCTCGATAACCAAAAGTCTAACTCAACCCAGGGGGAAGATAAGCAGAAGGCTTGTTGGTTCCTATAACAGACAGTGCAGGGCAGAGGCTCCTTCCTGTGCTGCTCTGGTGGCTCAAACTTGACCCAGTTTTTAAGCAACTCTCTGTGGGGGTCCCAGGGTGATATCAAGACTCCTGGCTCTCTCTCTCTTGTCGCATGCAGCAGGAAGAATCAAGCTTTGCTTTTCCTTTCCCTTCCTTCTTTCTTTCATGTGTGGTGTGGGTTTATTGTCCACTCCTGCAGTGTTTCCTGAGCACTGGAGGTCATGATCTAGATTCCCCCTTTGGGGAATGAGCATCCAACAGTCACTCATTCTCAGGTCCTTGACCAGTTATGGGTCTCTACAGTTATAACTGGCCACTTTAAAGAGAAGTGTCCCTGACCAGCCTGACTACGTGGCCCCAACTGTCCATGACCGTCTGCTCCTGGGGCCTCAGCCTCCCGAGCCCTGTGTCAGGCATGCCCCGCTGCACCTACCTCCAGTGGTTCTTTTTCTCCTTGTTCAATCAAAACAATTCAGTCTAGGCTGCCCTCCCTGGTTTCAAGGTGCAGAGAAATCAAACTGGAACCGAGTTGAAAACTTTCTCCCAGCTGGCTAGCACTCATAGGACTGGGAAGTATTCTGTTGGCTCCTGAGGGAGAGTTGTATCAACAGTCTTACTGATGGGTTCTATTTGCACAGGCCAACAGACCAAGCAAGTTGTACCCTCCGGCGTACCAGTGGTAAGTCTGTTACAAGCAACCGGTAGCTTAGTGAGTAGATTTGAGGCCCCTCTTTAGGAAGGAATGCACAGGAAGCCTGGTTTAAAGCTTCCAGCTGGGTGATAGGTTTGAGCAGGGAAAGTGGTGCTGTTGTTTTGTTAAATGGATATGATATACCTGTCAAATTGTCTTCTGTTGTTGTTGTTTTTTTTTTTTTTTTTGGTTTTTCGAGACAGGGTTTCTCTGTGGCTTTGGAGCCTGTCCTGGAACTAGCTCTGTAGACCAGGCTGGTCTCAAACTCACAGAGATCCGCCTACCTCTGCCTCCCGAGTGCTGGGATTAAAGGCGTGCGCCACCATCGCCCGGCTTCAAATTGTCTTCTAAGGAACTATGCGTATCCCGTAGATCAGTGCTGCTCTCAGGCTGGTCAGGGACACTTCTCTTTAAGGTGGCCAGTTATAATTGTAGAGACCCATAACTGGTCAAGGCGCTGAGAATGAATGACTATTGGATGCTCATTCCCCAAAGGGGGAATCTAGATCATGACCTCCAGTGCTCAGGAAACACTGCAGGAATGGACAAGAAGGAATGGACAAAATGTGAGCGTTTGAGGAAGTGGTAGAAGCTGTGTGGAATGCTGATGTCTGGGCATTGTGTAGCTGTAGTGATCACCTGCACTAGATTGGGTACATCAACATCCTATCGTGGAGGAGAGAGAGGCTCCTGGGGCCGCACCTGAGGATGTAGATGCTGTTGCAGTTAAAGGTTGATGGCTCACAAAGAGCTGAGTTCTTCAGTGATATTGCCTCTGGCAAGGTGCCTGTGATCCTATTAATAGCCCTAAAGAAAGACTATCACCAGAAGGGAACCAGAAGACAGGAAGGAGTGTTGTTTGGAAAGGGGAGAGGATTGGGAACAAGGGAAATGGGGTGGGTTTGGCTGATGCATCATCTAAGTGTATAAAAATGTCATAATGGAATCCATTACTGTGTATAACTGATTAATGCTAACAGAAACATGGATTAAAAACAAAAAAACCATTTCAGTCTCTAGCAAAACATGGTGCCTAAGGTCTATAACCCTGGCATTTGGGAATTTGAAGCAGGAGGATCAGGATTTCAAGGCCAACCTCAGCTACATAGTGAATTTGAGCCTGCATAGGTTGCATGAGGCTCTGTATAGAACCCAAAAGCCCAAAACTCAAATAACAATAGCATTCAAACAACCCAACCTCTGTTTGGAAAGAGGAGGGAACTAGCGGGAAGCAGGAAGGAGATGAGAAAGGAAGACGTACAGACGATCAAGAACATTATAAACATGTAAGAAAATATCACAACGAAACCCCTTATTTTATACAATTAACATCCAGCAATGAAATAAAGGGAGAAACTCGGAAAGGAGGGTCATGTGTTACCATGGACCTGTGACTAAGCCTGTGGGATACACTGCTTGTCCTTCCTGGGCGAGAAGCAGACATCATCCCTCCCAAACCATACAGCTGAGCATCGTGGTAGCTCAGGTCCATTGTAAGAGGTTTGTAGATGCTGGGAAAGAAACAAATATAACACAAACAGGCAACGTGTGGGCACATTGCCTCTCCTGTATGTCCCCCAAGACTGAGCAGTCCTTTCATATCGAGGGTTGGCTGTGCATGAATATGTGTCATCAGGGGAATCAGTCTTTTGATCCTTAGGCTTAGATCCGTAATCCCACAATCAAACACAAATTCTTTTTTTAAAAAAAAATAACTTATTTTTATTTTGTGTGTACTGGTGTGTTTCTGTGCCTAATCTTGGAATTATAGACAGGTGTGAGCTGCCATGTGGATGCTGGAAATCGAACCCGGGTCCCCTGGAAGAACAACCGCTGCCCTTCACCACTGAGCCATCTCTCCAGCCAGCCACAAACACAAATTCTTAGGCAGGATCCCTTTTTTTTTTGTTTTGTTTTTTCGAGACAGGGTTTCTCTGTGGCTTTGGAGCCTGTCCTGGAACTAGCTCTGTAGACCAGGCTGGTCTCGAACTCACAGAGATCCGCCTGCCTCTGCCTCCCGAGTGCTGGGATTAAAGGCATGCACCACCATTGCCCGGCAATGCAGGATCCTTTTTTAAAGTAGCATATAGCCATCTGTGCACTGTGTGTGTGTGTGTGTGTGTGTGTGTGTGTGTGTGTGTGTGTGACATTTTCATGTATTTGGGCTCCTGGCTAGACATGTCTGTGTCTGAGATGAACACTTGAGAGACATTTTCCTTGTGTTGTGAGAGAGATACTGGCTCACTTCATCAACCCTGTTAGCAGTGAAGTAGGGACCACAGTGGGCCTAAAATGATGATCTCAAAACCCAAGCTTAGCTCTCTCAGGCCCTGACTTTCCCCCAGAGGTTATGAGACAATAATTTTATTTCCCTTCTGACGCCTTGTGACTGCACTGAGAAAGTGTGGGCTTAGATGAAGGCTTCCGGGGAATTGCCAAATAATTTGCAATTGTAGCAACTTCGACAAGCTTTCTGAGTGATTCAACCCCATCATAGAGTTGTACAGGCTGTGGAGGGAGTAGCAGATTGAAAAGTCCACACATTAGCCATAAAGTAAGCAGGGGAAACACAGCAACAGCTCATATTAGCTGGCTTTGAAAAGGATGACATGGGAAAGGCTATATTTTCAAAATGAAGGTGGTAAGGTCGACATTGAAGTGTGACACAGGTCTTCTGTCCCAAGTGGACCCTCAGCTGCTGCTCAGCTATTGCCATATGACTTCCATGGGTTCATGTTTCCAGACACTTAGTTTTAAAAAGAAACTCAAGCTGGGTGGTGATGGCACACACCTTTAATCCCAGCACTCAGGAGTCAGAGACAGTCGGATCTCTGAGTTTGAGGCCAGCCTGATCTACAAGAGCTAGTTCCAGGACAGCCAGAGCTGTTACACAGGGAACTCCTGTTCTCAAAAAAACAAAACGAACCAACCAAACAACAACAACAACAACAAATCCCCAAAACCTAAAACCTCACTTACTATGCAGATGCTGATTCCCTACTTAGAAAAAATATTTCCTGTTCAAAACTGTATTTTTTTGTTCATTTGCTTGTTTGAGATATCCCAGACTGGTTGTGAGCTTGCTGTGTATTCCTTAAACTCCTGATCCCCGTCTTGGTCTGCTGAATGTTTGAATGACAGGTGTGTGCTGCCTTGGGGGCTCAACAGCTATTTCTTTATTTTTTTTTTAATTGTAAAGAAATACACTGTAACTTGAAATGTTTCATCTTAGCTAGTAAGTATTGGGTCCAGAAGCATATGCAAAAACAAAAGCAAAACAAATCAGACTTGTCATCTTGCAAAACAGAAGAAACTCTGTATCTGTTGTCAGAAATCCTGCCAGCCCCGCCAGTCACCCTTCTGCTTTCTGATTCCCCGGGCTCCACTACAGCCCGATCATACACTGTTGTCTTTTGTGACCTGTCTAGTGCATCTGACTTCAGAGTCCATCCATGTTCTAGCATGTGTGAGAATTATCTGCCCTGCTAATTAACACTCCGATCCTGTTGCTTGTCCATCTTTCTGCTGACGGATGCTCACGTTTCTTCCCTCTTTTTTTAAAAAAATTTATTTCATGTGCATACACCTGTGTGTGTGTGTCTGAATATGTGTTGTG